CCTTGACAAAGGAACCGAGAGATCATGGTAAGACCAGACATATCGACAAAAAGTACCATTTCATCAGACATAGAGTTGAAGAAGGCCATCTTATAGTAAAGAGGGTGTCATCTGAAGATAACCCATCAGATCCCCTCACAAAGGGTCTGAGTAGGGCTAAGCATATTCAGCATGCTCGGAGCATAGGACTGAAAGATGATATTAGTTTTAGTAGTTAGATTAGTTTTATTCTGAAACTTGTAACAAAGTAAATGCAATTGACTTTTGGTGATTAAATAATAAAGTATTATTTATAAGTTTGGTTTCTGCCTTTTGTCAATTGTTTATTATTGTGTTTCATTTTTGCATGTTTTACTTCCCGAATAATAAATTATTCAAACTCCACAGTCACTCATACTTTTGGAAGTAAGTAGTGAATTAAGACTGTCATGAACTGGATTGTAGATTGTCTAAGGATAGACATGGCAATAGAATTGCTGCAACGTTCATGAGTACTCAGTAATTGAGATTTGAGTACTGGATAAACCCTCGCTCAGAGTATCACTTCATGGAATTCATCACGAGTAATACTGAGACGATAATATCTTATAATCTTGAAACGAAGATATATGAGTTGCAATTTACAAGTCGGTCATGCATTGGTGATACGAAAACGCATCAGTAACTTGGTGTTATAAAACGTATTGTCATGTATAATTTGATGAGTAAAAGATACAAGCATATGAGTCAACGTTTATTCGTTCCTTTTGCCCTAATAGGAAAAGCGATATCTGTGGGCCCCTCGATGATTTGGTGTTGACTTATGTGCTGGGCCCAGCCAGGACTAGATTGATGTGTTCAATTAGAAGTCCTACATCATCACAAATCAGAAATCGGGAAACATAGATTCTGGACAAAGAGATTGATTACATTCCATGTCTTATGTCTAGGGATATCTAGCAGAACGAAGGATTATATGATCACTTATCTTAGGACACATAACTGACTGGGTCAGAGTTCGACAGCAGCTTTTTGGAAGCTACAATTTGCTGGTCAAATTTAGAAGGCATACTAGCAATTATAGTTACAGACTTATCCAAGTGGGAGACTGTTGGATTAGGTGTCTAAGCCCATAACTATAATTGGTATGTACTTGAATTGATAGCAGCACAGTCCTTTTGGGTTGCCTCAACCTAGCAATTGGACAAGGAAATTATGAAATGAGAGATATTAATTTATAAGATTATTGAATTAATATAAATGATTTATTAATATGTTAAAAGATTAATATATTAATTAGAAATCATTATGTTTAATTAATAGTTAGCCAGAAATTAATCAGAATTAATTTTGGGGTTAAAAGAATTAATTTAAAGTGCAGGGACTAGTTTGCAATTAACTGATAGTTGAATGGAAGGATCCAGAACTCCCTTGGAAGGGGTGGACGAAAACCCTAGGGGAAACCCTAGAGAATTCGTCCAAGGGGTCCAAGATAAGGCCTTGGGTCTTGCTTAGGCCCTAAGCAAAGGATAACTAGGGTTTTCCCTAAACCCTAGTTCCCTCAACTATTTAAGGAGCCTCCTGGCTCACATTTTGGGTACTGATTTCTTTGGAAGAAACCCTAAGGCCGAAATTGCATACTCTCTCCATCCTCTCTCCTCCAAGTTTCCTTCTTGCTAGTTCTTGGGTGTGATTCCATTAGAGGCATTACATTTGTGGTGCTAAGCTTCCAAGAAGATCAAGATCAAGATCAAGAGGATTATCAATTGTTTGCTATAACAATTGAAAGGTATGTAACTCCTAAACCCTAGTTTGTTAATTTTGAAATTAGCCTCTTTCCTCTAGGGTTCTTGTTTTGCAATTCAAAGTTATATGTTCAATGGTTAAAACATAGATCCAAAGTAGGTTGCATGTGAACTTAGGAATTGTTTTTCTAGTTTATTTGTTTTACCTAAAATCCATCAGTTATACCCAAGAAACACACAAGGGATGCTATGTGGAGCAAGCTTATGATTTGAATAGTTCTGTAAGTATGGAAATACTCAACATCCATAGTAATTAGTTTAATAAACACCTACTTATGACAAGATAAGTAGACCCGATGGGTGTGAAAAGCAAAAATGAACCAGATTAGCAAAACCCTTTAGAAAAAAAGCTATTTTTTGAAACACGCACATATAAAGAGATATGAAAAGGGCGACAGGGTGTTTTACCTAGTATGAGTGGTGGAGAAGACGGTGAGTGGTGGATGATCTAATGGTGGTGATGATTGGTTTCTCGGGTAGGTTTATGACTGAACTAAGAAAGGATATGGCGAGTACATAGTGTTAACTGATTCAATTGGTTCAACAGTGGAGGATATGTCACTGAGGGTTTTCAAGAGGGAGGAGAGAGATTAATTCAGATTTTAAATGGGTCAGCACGAGATATAAGGAAGGAACGAAATTAAAGGGGGGCTGAGTCAATATATATATATGCATCCGTATAATGTACATTTAATTTAAAATTTTGCGTTTTCAATTGGGGATTTAAATTATAATATTGTTATATTATTGTTATGTTGTACTTTAATCTTAAACACTTGCATGTATTATAATTTAATATTATTTTATTGTTGGTCACTTGTACTATTAGCTTAATGGTTTGGACGTTTTAAAAAATAATATTATTTTATTCAATCTATTTTTAGAAAATGTAAGATTTCCTTTATAATATTGTGTGTGTGTCTATATATATATATATACATATATATATATATATATATTATATAGATATATATATATATATATATATATATCCAAAGAAACAAGACCGAAAGGGATCAAATGAAGCTTTAAACTAAGATCTAACAAAATATAAGCATAAAGGCTGAAACTTTATACCTTCCCAAGGTCCAGAAGATGTTAAGAATGTAGAAACTTGGTTGGATCTAACCTCACTTGCACCAAAATTCCATGTTCTTATTCAAATGACACCAAGGAACACCAAAAACTCAACAAGGATGAAAGGAGGCTACTCTAGGGTTTTGTGGAGAGGATGGAGGCTGATAAGACGGAAACCCTAGAAGTTAGAACCTTTAAATAGGGCCTAAAGTCCGAGACCTATGGTTTTGAGCTACCAGAGGCGCTACGCGCGACGTAGCTATGTTCAACATAGCTTCAACCTATGCCCATTGTAGCTTCAACCTACATTCAACGTAGCTTCAACCTCTGCGTGACGTAGTAGGGACAGAGTCTTGAATTTCAACATTTTACCATAAGGGACATATCGAGAAATAGACATTCCAACTATAAAAGGGGTAATAGGGAACTGCCCTCTGTGAGGTTTGAGGACAACGCCCCAACAAGAAAATTTTGATCTAAAGTGTTGCAAAGTTGCCTACACCACAGCTGTAGTAGTAGTTGTGGTGCAGTCTGTGGTGCTCAACCTATACCAAATGGTAGTGTTTTGGATTAGTAGGACTTGGCCCACAAGCAGTCCTAGATCACAATTTTCCATTATAAATAGATCTTTTTGTACGTTTGTAACTCTAAACAGAAAGCGCGAGTGTGACATTTGTATTCTACAATTATAATAAAAATCTATGTAGTTCTCCTGTGGATTAGTATAGTTACTCTGATCGTATGAATCACGTTAATTTCCCGTGTTCTTAGATTTTTTTTCCATATCTTTATTGTGTGTATTTACAACATATTTATCCGGACAAGACAAAGGTGCTATTGAGATATTGGGCCCTTACGGTATCTCGTACACATTCCTACGATTGGACGAGCGAATAAGTCAACTTCAAAGTGGATTTGATGTGCGAAGAGTGTGTTATGACCCGTGGCCGCCTGCCTGTTGGGGGCGGCTCCTCCGTTGTGGGTAAACGCGAAACCCGACTCTACGAACCCGAGGAAAGGCTGCACAGCAGTACTAGGGGCGTTAAGACCGGAGCTTTTTGTAGTGCTAGCAGGAATGCAAGTGAATGAATCCCATCCCCTAGCGAGTAAAGTGCTTACGCCCCTTTAGAGAGAGGGGCACGCTAGCGCTTGACTAAGAGAATAGGGGCTGAGAAGCTCTTGCTTGCTGTCTACTTTGCAAGCCTTCACTACCCCGTTCTGTAACTTATCTTCTTTCGTCCGTCCACAATGCTGTAAAAAGAGAGAAAGGGGTGGCTATCTAGCGGGAGTCGTTTCGGTTGTATGCCACGAGGTCCCTATGGACAAGGGGACAAGTGAATCATCGCTTTTGGGCGCAGGCAGCCCTCTACCATCTATCCCATTGCATTCCATTGTCTCGTATTGTACTGTACCGTATCAGACCAGATACATCTATTGAGTGAGAGAAATGTAATCTATTTCATTCTATTTTCTGCATTTTGATATTGATAGGGATCCCCATTCATTCCTAGATTCCCGGATTGACTGTCCCTACCTAACTACATGGTAGTGGTCTAGGGAGCGCAATTGCTAGAGCACGGGAGAATGAACCCATTCGTCATTAGCAAGTGCATAGCGAACATATAGAGATAGACCGAGATCAACCCAATGCAGATTTCGAGAATACACTTCAATCCATTGATTTTCAGGGGAGAAAAAAAGTCGAAATCCAATAGTATATAGTGCTCTAGTTGTATCAATTGAAGCGAACTGAATAATGGAATGTGTTTCAAAGGAATTGTCTACAACACAAATCTCAAACTTTGGTATATTTTATGTTTTGTGTATTTTCTTTATTTCATTTGAAGTGTATTGTTATAAAAACACATTGTATCTGTATAGTTTCTTTTCTTTCGTTTATATATGTATTTTTGGAACACAATTCAGCATATATAGTGCACAATATAAATACCCTACAGTTAGCTTTAGTTCCAATCCAAACTAAGACCGTATTTGAGTAATATATATCCAACCATCTGATAGATATTTGTTGTTTAGTTCGTTACTCTTCTCTTTATATATAATTATATATGTATGTAATGAGACGATCAAAATAACAATTAATGAAATCAAATATCGTCAACTTTTCTTTTTCTTTATGGGGTGCCTCATTTCCATTTAGATCTTCAATTGAGAACAAGTTTTTGTTTCTTCATATATATATGTACACGAAAGTAAAATTCATTAAAAAAGAGAAAAAAAAAAACTATTTATTCTTATTTTATTAATGAACTAACTAATATCTACAGAAGCATTCAAGAAATCTTGTTCGATGAAAGTTGGTGGGTTGATCCTCTCAACAAATACATCCAATGCTTCCTTCATCCACCAACTCTGGCATACCTCTCTTGCTTCTTCTATCTTCATCTGAAAAAAAAAATCATTTTATTTCATTAATTCAGAATAAATTGTTTTATTTTTCGTAAGTTTTCAGTTTAATATACGTATTTCTTGCATGCCATTTCTGCATCATCATTTTGTCATAGCTTGTAGTGGGTGATCAGTGTTAAAACGAAAATTAAAGTTATGTACATTTCTTGTAATTAACTATAATGTTTCCAAAACCCTAAAACCCACCGGAAAACTGTGTCGGAAAACTTTATAAATATTTTTATAAACACACGAACAAGAAAAGTTGATCAATACATACCCAAACTCTTTGCCGGAGATTTTTCTCCGGCCAAAGTTCAAGCTGTTCAGCGACGAGCATCGGAAACATGTACCCTTCATGGTATATTCCTTGGCTTTTGCTCTTGAACATCCATTTTCCTAATTCACACTGCATTTTGCATCATAAAATTGTCACGTAAACTTTTATTTTCTATAGATCTCAGTGATCTTTTAATAAAATTAAATAAAAAATGAGTATTCACTATTCAGTAATATATTAAACCTCGACTATTCCAACCACACCGGCTTCTTCGAAGCACTCCCGTGAAGCAGCTTCTTCGACGGATTCATCGAGCTCCCAACCTCCCTGAAGTTGTCGTTATCGAGAGTGTCAGAATTTTTTATTATGGCAGAGAAAAGAAAAAATATAATAAAAAAAAAAACTTTTGAATAGTCTTCCGTTAATATTTATTCAAATCAAGTGGCTTTCGCTTTCTCTTTATATTTTGTATATGGTTTAAATATAAACTTATATAAAAAGAATTCACTAAATACCTTGGGAAACATCATAGCATGGCCTTTCTGCGAGCTGATAACGAGGACTTCAAGTTCACCATTTTCATTTTTATACCTATACGGAATACACCTGCAATAATTTTATAAAATATATATTAAATTATACTATCATAAATCTAATATGAGTTTAGCAGTTATAAATTGATTATTTCTTTTTCATTTGCATCTTTGTTCGAAACCCATGTTTCAATACACGAGATTTCTATTATTAATATTTATTTTTACTACTATTATTTTTTGAATTTTACGAGACTGATAAAAATACGAAATGCAAGTGAGTTTGAGTAGACAAATAAACACTAAAAACGTAAAATACCCGACAACAAGTCGACGACCCATGTCATAACGTTGCAATTCACGTCCGGATCTTGAAACTAAACACATCATCTTCAACTTTCAGTTTTTCGTGCTACTTGCGTTGAAGCGAAAAAATGATTTGAGGAGAAAAAAAAACAGTAAACTTGTGTATATATTTTGTTTGTTTGTTTTTTTTTTTTTTTTTTTTTTTTTTTTTAAATTTGAGTGGATAAGAGAGAGTTATGAAGGAGGAATGGAGGGTGTTGGGGGTTTATATAGGAAGAGGAAGGTGGGTAGTGATGTAAAAATGGAATATTTGAAGATGGTGGGCGGATGTCGTAATCAGAAAACACCTACGGGACACGGTTGCGTTACTGTAAATGGAATATTTTACAAACACATACGCACACACTAAACATTTACTCATGTTCCAACTGTATCATTTACACCTACAAAAATAACTATAATAGCCATTATTTTAAAGTTTTTTTTTATAAAATAACGAAAAAAATTAGAAAAACGACCAAAATAGCCAATAATTTTTAAAATCATATCTATGAAAATCTATGTGGTTTGCGAAAATATGTATTTCATTTTGAAAAAAGCAAAACCAAGTAGTTTTGTCATCTGGTAAAAATGACGTCACCTACGAAAAAATGACTTTATCTACAAAAAACTGTCAAAATAATGTATTTTCTAAAAAAATATGTATTGTCTTGTCATGTTACCTATGAAAATCAACAAGTCTTCATGATTCGATTCAACTTAGGTAAATATACTTTTAGAAACTATTTGCCTTTATTTAAGGATATATAATTACTTTTAAGCGTTAAATGATAATAATGCTTTTTTTTACAGGGGTAACATGGTGATCTTACACCATTTGCTAAGAGCACACTTCGTAAGAGGATGCAGAAGTGTCAAGCCTAACATGCAAGAGATGTCTATAGCTTCAACTATGAAGTTACAAATTCTTTGCAAACTACATTTGTACATCTTGTTCGCATGATTTATGGATGTAGAAAATGGGAAAAAAAAATGGTGTACTGTGTGGGCACATGGTAACAACGATGAGATCATTAACATGCCAAATATCTACCAATTTATTAACTATAACTTGATGTCGTGTATTGAGCAATATATCAAACTAAAACGGTGTATCCTCTACCACCTCCTGCTCCACAGGAATTACCAAACGATGTATTGGTGGTGTTACCCCCTTTTATAACTTCAATATTTACATGTCTTTCTTAAGTATATGTGTAATTTTATATGTTATCAACTAATATAGTATCTAACTAATGTGATCTATATAAAAAAAATTCTAAACATTGCAAACCATCCTAACTTGTAGCTTACAAAAATGAATTCCCAATATCCAAATACCAAATGTGATATGTCCATGGATAGCCCTTGTTATATATAACACAATGAGACTTTTTACCTCAAACAAAAGGAGGCGAGGCACATCTGTTATGAAGTAGAAGTTGAGAGTAAGAAAGATACTTGGCTAAGGTGAGTAAATCTGAGTATGTATCCTTATCAAATATATTTTGATAAATGTTTTGGTATAACTTATACTATAAATGTATATTACTTTCTATGTGGCCTCTTTGGTATACTTGTGCATTGCATTAAATGCTTATTTTTAAAAATTTTATGCTTAGAAAATGGAAAGATTGGTTTACGTCTTGTTTAATCATTCTAATTGTGCATATAATGTTATGATGTATCGTTTTGAGAGTTCCAGTAACTTTACAGGATTAAAATTCTACAGTTTAATGGATATAATATTTTAGAGAAACTTGTGTCACATTAAGTTGTCTAAAGTCCTAACTAAATTGGTATAATGTTGATGAATAAATGTAAAGTCCTTTTTTGGGTTGCCCTCACAACCAGAAAATGACTTGGATTGATCAAGGGGGAGAGATAAATGATTTGTTAATTTATTATATGAATAATAAATTAATTAGAAATAGATGGAATTAGTTAATTATTAATCAGAATTAATCTGGAATTAATTCAGGATTAATTAGAATTAATAATTATGCAAGGGGTGAATTGTAATTGCTCAATAGTTGAACAAAATAAACAATTCTAGAACCTTCATGAATATGGACGGTTTTAAGGAGTTTCTAAGGGTTTCTGCAAGGCTCCTGGTAGCAGATAAGGGAAAGATTTGAATTGAAATTAAATCTATTATTTAATCATTCAAATCTGACTTTTTCTTGAAGTTACTTAAACTATAAATAGGACCCTTAGAGCACTTAATTTCATGGCTTTTTCATACCTAAAGTTGGAGAACGAAATTCTCCTCATGCTCTCCCTTCTCTCCTCTAATCTTAGGGTTTCTTGAGTTTTGGGTGTGAACCATTAGAGGTTGTCATACTTTCGGAGCTAGTTTTTCAAGGAGACGACAAAGGGTATTTGATTAGCTTGTTTCGAATCAAGCAAAAGGTATATAGTTCTATTTATGAATTTGATTCATTGGGTTTATAGTTTTTGTTGCATAAGTATGTTTTTATTAATTGAGAAAAGACATAGATCCTTTTAGGTTTCATGTACCCTTAAGAGTTAAGTAAATTTTTGCATGTACAATGTAATTGTAACCTAAAAACCCCTTCAACTTGGTGGTCATTAAAGAAGCAATTTCAAGAGTTAAGCACAATATGTATGGATGAAATTTGCAACTCCATTGCATGGGAAGTATGTTGATAGTCACATGTCTTCTCTAAATGTTACTGCTAAGATTTTTTTCCTTGTTCATGACCTATTTGGTCATTTTTTACTTTTCATACTAAATAAATAGAAACGAATTGAAGTAGGTAGCTTCTACTATGAGAGGAACCTTATTTGGGAGTAGAGAACTTGGGTTAGGAATTAGAAGCACATGTACTTCATTGTTTTTTTATATGATTGTAGCTAACCTAAAATATTATGTTTAGAAATGACATGAAATAGTTTTGAGAGTTATGATAAATGTTTTGAATTGATTTTGAGAATTATAAGAACAGTTTAAATGTATTAGGAATTATGACCTAGGAATTGGGTTATTGAAATTATCGAATTCCATTCCATAGTGTAATTGTTGGATTAAGGTCTCTAACATCATAACTAAATTTGTATAAACTTGCAAATAGAAGCAAAGTCTTTTTTTGGTTGTCCTCATAACTATAAATAGCTAGAAATGATATTAGGAGAGAGAAACAGAGAGATGGGGAGAGAGAGATAGATAGATAGATAGAGATAGAGATAGAGAGAGAGAGAGAGAGAGAGAGAGAGAAATGATTTGTTAATATATTATGTGATTAATATATTAATTGGAAATAGATAATTGATCTGTTAATTTGTTATGTGATTAATAAATTAACATGAGATCAATAGTTAAATAATTAATTGATTAATTAATGAGAAATCAATAAGAATTAATTAATTTTTAATCAGAATTAATCTAAAATAAATTTGTGATTAATTTGAATTAATTAAAGGTGCAATTGATGAATTGTAATTGTTCAATACTTAAACAAAAGAAGTAATTATATAACCATCCATGGTATGGACGGTTTTGGTTTGATTCCTAGTGTTTCTGGAAGCCTCCTGGATGCAAATAAGGAAATGATTTGAATTGGGATTAAAAATATTATTTAATTAATTCAAATATGACTTTGCATGCAGGTTACCTAAACTATAAATAGGACCCCGGGACCAACACATTTCGTTTATACTTTTATCTACAACCTTAGGAACGAAATTTTTATCTCTCCTTTCTCTCTCTCTCTCTCTCTCTCTCTCTCTCTCTCTCCTCTTCATTCTAGGGTTTTGGGTGTGAGCCATTAGAGACATCATACTTTTGATGCTTGCTTTCTAAAGACACAAAGGAAAGGATCAAAAATTTAATTGCTATAATAAATCTAAAGGTATGTAAACCCTAATTCATGAATTTTGATTTTCATAGAGTTCCTTTAGGGTTCTTGAAGTTCATAGTATGTTGCTATCAGTTAGAGAAAACATAGATCATTTATAGGTCGCATGTGAACTTAAGTGTTAAGATTTTCCGCTTTACATGTTTTTGATAACCTATAAAACCCATGAGTTGTATCAGAGCTATTGTTTCTATTGACTAGTAGTGCATGAGATGAATTGGTCTTGATTAGTGTTTATCGAAAATAAACCCTTGTTATTTTAAATTCCAACTTTTGCTAGGGTTTCTTGAAACCCTAGCCTCCTTGCCCTTGTTTTCGAAAATACCTTAGGGTTTCATTAGGGTTTCAAGTTTCCTTAATTATTATTTTAGATGGATTAAATTTTGAATAACTAAAACTTGGTAGCCCTAACCCTAAATTTCAAAAATTAAAAGGATAGGGATTAAATTTGAATTAATTAATTCATAGTATAATTAAAGATAATTGTTTAATTACTAAATGTTTTAATTAATTTTATTAATTGTAATAAAAAAGATAAAGATAAATCATAATTGGTATAAAAATTAATTAAATAAATGTCTAATTCAGATAATTAATATTTAAACCTTGTGTTTTGAAAAGTTTACAATACACCTTTTATATATATATATATATATATATATATATATATATATATATATATATATATATATATATATATATTATTATTAAACATTATGTAACATCCCAAAAATTTCTTTTTAAAGCATTAATAAAACCATAAGTATTAAATAATTTCAACCATAACTAAAGGATTATAACACAACAGAGTATCATTTCAAAACACTTGTTCGTTTTATCAGAGTAAACATCCCAGGCTAAAACTCCCTTGGTGTGTGTGTCATGCGATCACCCCGAGCTCTTCCCTCCGCTACCGGAAGTACTTGAAACCAAAACTGAAAACCGTAAGCACGAAGCTTAGTGAGTTCTCCAACCTACCGCATACCATATACGCATAACCATGAATACATAACCACATACTGGGCCCCCGCCCGCTGCATCGGGCCTTGCCCGGCATCGGGCCCCGCCCGGCATCAGGCCCCGCCTGGCATCGAGCCCCGCTCGGTATACAGATATGTCTCCCTTAGGCCCCGCTTGACCCCCTGCCCTCACCCGCTGCACACATACATACAATCAAAAAACATATTAGAACATACATAAACATACTCCAACTGCACCCTGATCTAAGGCCTCGCCTAACTTGGGCCCCACCCATGGTCTGCTACTGA